ACTCTTTCCTATTCTTCTCACTTATACTGACCATGAAAATGAAATATACTAGAATTCATCAGCATGTCTATGAAATTGGCCCTACAGTATCCAGAGTCACTCTCTGAACTGCCACCCCTGTCATAGCTGTTCAAAATTAACAAAGAACTCTTTAAATCAAATCAGACTGAAGTTTACAATCCCTTCCTCGTTCATCTCAAACGCGTCTCCGAGTTTTAAAGAACGACAGCACGTGAATTACCTCCCAGAGCCAAGTAAGTGTTCTGCACAGTCAACGCTCTAGAAACGCCTGTCAAAAGCGGCCCATGGAAACTGATACCTGAGACTTGACACGCCTTGTTCTCTTCGGCAGAATGTTCACTCTTGTGCCCGGCTCTGGGGGAGTTTGGACATCAGTGCCAAGAACCTCAGGCTCCACTTTTTCCTTAAGATCTAAATTAGGCATTTGTACACCCTAAAGAATTGAGAGCACAGGAAGAGGGCAGATTCACTTATAAGAAATCAGATTTGAGAATAAGGAGAAAAATAATAAATTTCTAAAAAAATCCCTAAAACTACATGAAACCAGATGACAATTCTCCCACCAAACTGATCTACAGATTCAAGACAATCCCTATCAAAATCCTAGCAGGCTTTTGTTGTAGAAATTGAGAAGTGGATCCCAAAATTTATGTGGAAATGCAAATTGTTTGGAAATTTTGAAAAAAGAACCAAGCTGGAGGACTTACACTACCAGATATCTAAACTTACTACAAAGCTATGGTACCCAAGACAGCATAGTATTGGTGTTAGGGTAAAACATACAGAGCAAACAAAGAACAAAATAGACTAGAAATAAACCCACATATTTATAGTCAACTGATTCTCAACAAAGGTGCCAAGGTAAATCACCTTGGTAAGGTAAATGGGAGAAGGGTAGTCTTTTAACAAATGGTGCTGGAACAATTGGATATTCCTATACCCCCTCTCCGCTGCCCCCAAAATGAACTTATACCTTTAACTCAGACTATACACAAAAAAACGACTCAAAATGGGTCACAGACCTAAACATAAAAGCTAAAACTATAAAAAAACAAACACCTTGGCCTTAGGTGAAGAAAAGATTTTCTTAGATATGATAACAGAAGCACAATCCATAAAAAGGGAGAAAATCAATAGATTACTCTTCAAATAGACACCATTATAAAAATGAAAAGACAAACCACAAACTAAAGGAAAATATTTGTAAAATCATACATCTGTTAAAGGACTTATAACCAGACTATTTAGCAAAATCTTAAAACAAGTATAAAATGACTGACAACCCAATAAAAAAAAGATTTGAGTAGACAGTTCATCAAGGAAGATATACAAATGGCTAATATACACATGAAAAGATACACAACACCATTAGTCATTAGGGAAATAAAATTAAAACCACAATGAGATACCACTATACACCCACCAGAATGGCTGTAAGCAAAAAAACTGACAATACCAAGTGTTGGCAAAGATGTGCAGAAACTGGAAGCCTCTACATTACTGGCGGGAATGTAAAATGTTTCAGCCACTTTGGAATACAGTTTGGCAGTTTCTTAAAAATTAAACATAAACTTACCGTATAACCCAGCAATTCCACTCCTAGGTATCTACCCAAGAGAAATGAAAACGTATGTCCACACAAAGACTAGTACATGAATATTCATAGCATTATTCATAACAGCCATAAACTGGAAACAATCCAAATGTCCATAAGTGATAAATGAATAAACAAATGTGGTATATCCATACAACAGAATATTATTCAGCCATAAAGAGGAATGAAGTACGAATACTAAAACATACATGAACCTTAAAAACATTAGGCTAAGTGAAAAAAGCCATACACAAAATCATACTGTATGATTCCATGTATGTGAAATTTCTAGAAAAGGCAAAACTACAGAGCCAGAGAGCAGATCAGGAGTTGTCCAGGTCTGAGGGTAGAAGAACCAGCTATAAACAAACACAAAGGAAATTTTGGGGCTGATGGAAGTGTTCTAAAACTGGATGGTGATGATAGTTGCATAAATGTATAATTTACTAAAGCTTATTGACTGTGTACCTACAATGGGTGAATTCTGTAGTATGTAAATTATACCTCAATAAAGCTGTTCAAAAAAAAAATACATGACACCAAGTGGAGGAATTTTTTTAAAAGCGTTAAGTCTTGCATAAGCTTACACACTTTAATAAGAAAACTTTCTTCATTCCCATTAGCCTTTATCTTGTAAACCACCAAAAATTGCTGTGATTTTTAAACTACACCTTGCTCCCCCCAAATTTCAGTACCTGGTGAAATCATAGCCAATTGCTATCTTGTTATAGTAAACAATCTAAAGTTTATAAATGGCAGAGTGGATTTATCCACTCCTAAAAAAAGTGATGCATCTCACCATAAGGCTGACACCAGACTGGAAAAGCTCATATGGGTAGAGAATTCTTTCATAATGTGACTTCAAAAGAGACCCAGTTCCTTTTCCTGGCAGATATCCCAAGCGGCTACCCACTTTAGACCATTTCTTCTCTTTGGTGACCATTTCAAAACCACCTTTGCTGGCAACAATCTGAAAAGAAAGTAAAAATTATTTAGGG